GTGGGATGAAAATATTGAACCTTTTATGTTGAAGATTGAAGTGATTGTCGTTATTATCACCTATCAGGTGATGCCCAATTTTTGGAGGATGAGAGTACAAAGATATTTGCAAAAAAAGTTGCCGATCATTACAGTGCAAGAACAAATCAGACGCTTGAAGAACGTGAAGCAAGCCCAATCATCCACCTGAAGAAACTCAATAATTGGGTATCCAATAAAGTCATATTTAGTATAGTTTGATATTTAGCAAGTATTCCGAGAGTAAGCTTAAAATCAAATATAATAATTTAACTTCCTACGAAGTCCTATGTCAAATAGAAGCAAGAAAAGTTTTATAGTTGTCTTTCTCCCGTTTTCCATTCGACAGATAAAGAGTGTCTTAATTCAGTTATATGCCAAGAAAGGGGATGCAGCTCTTGATCTGGCTTGTGGGAAGGTACTCTATGAGCTGAATATTTTGAGATCCATAGTCATTGAAATCTGCTGTACTTATGTTGTAAAATTTGGTCATTTGGGTCGTCTCTCATTTGTACCAGGGGGGTGATCTCATCAAATGGGACAAGGCGAGGATCGGTTATTATGTGGGCATTGATATTGCTGATGGATCAGTGAAGTCTTAATCTTCTTAACCTTTTTTAGTCAATCACCATCATTTTTAGCAATACTGGAGTTCAAAGAATTAATCAATGTTGAACTGTACATCAGGCACAAGGAATACTAAATTGATTGAACTTAAATTGGGATTACTATGCCTAGATATTTTATTGACATGTTAATACTATAAAACTTGGATTAAACAGAATTAGTGTGATCTTTGTAGGCTCAACTTCAAATAAAACTTAACATAATGCATATATACTTGATGCTTATCATTTGGTTTAACAGAAGTTATGTCGAATAAAACAAACCACACATAAGCTTGTACGTTATTAATATATTGTATTGTGTACTGGTTACATTCTTAATAATTCAGCAATAAATCCATAATTAATTTGTACCCTTTGAAGATGTTAGTAAACATATCAATTCAAGTTAAGCCACTCAAAGCATGCGTTTTCATATTCCCCATATGCTAGACATGATTTTGCTCATGATACTGTGATCTTTCACTTGAGTACATACTTTGTCCTTGTGAATTTTAGGGTCTCCTGCTGTGTCTTTCTCCCGATACCTCTTGTGAATGGATCACGTTAATGAGAGTCCGAGTTATGCTTTAGTCGGAATGTATAGCAAACTTTAAGTCTGCAAAAATTGTTTTAGCCTTGGCATTTTATTGTTATATGAGCTAGTTCTTTTTATTTGAACTGAGAATAATTTTAAATGTGGCAATGTTATTTATTATTGCTTGTCTCAAAGCCCGACATCAAATGTGTGTTGCCTCTCGTAAGATTATATCATAGGTAGCCATCTCCTTAGATCAATAACAAAATGATGCCTTTTTCTGATATCAGATAGAAGACTGCCGCATACGTTATAATGGCGACGCAGACCATCACCAGCGTCGCAAAAAGTTCTCATTTCCTGCCCGACTCATTTGTGGCGATTGTTTTGAGGTAAGTATCAATTACAGCTAGTTTATGGATTTTCTCGTACCATTAGCACGCAGTCTCTTTTGGCTTATTGGCAATCTGAGTCATATTGGAATATCCACTTATCAAGTGACGCATTTCTTTGTCATAAGTACTATAAAAAAAGTTACTTTTGTTAATGATGTGTGTAGCTTGGCTTTGGGCTATGTAGTACTCTCTGAAATAACTCCCGTGCTGTTTAGTAATTTGAGCATATTTGTAAATAATTTATTTATTTGTTGCAGGTTCGACTAGATAAGGTTTTGGAAGAAGATGCCCCATTTGACATTTGTAGCTGCCAGGTGAGTCATTTTGCATTTCATATAAGCAAGCACTTTTATTTCATTGATTGATTAAATCATTAAATGATCACTATCCCTCAATCTAGAACCATGGGCCAATGGTAATGGATCAAGTTAAGACAATTGACTAGTTTTTTCTTTATCACATATTGCTCGGGCTTCCTGAGATGTAAAAAATCATTCTTGTAAGGGGTTTTATCTAAAAGCTGGAGCAATTTTTCTGTAATAGGGTGATGCGTATATGTGTTTATGGTTCCGAAGTCTGGCTGCTAGATTTTGAAATGGTTCATTTGGTGAACTATGATCTTTATTGTAACCAAAATTTTGCAGTTTGCCATGCACTACTCGTGGTCTACTGAGGCACGTGCTAGGCGGGCCTTGGCCAATGTATCAGCTTTACTTCGGCCTGGAGGCATCTTCATTGGAACAATGCCAGATGCCAATGTCATCATAAAAAAGCTTAGAGAAGGTTTTATTATGTATAATATTGTTTAAATGTCTGATTGTGGTTAATTAAAAGCTCAGAATTGGGTAGATCTATGTCGTGGGTACACCGAATATCTGCTATTTCAATTATGTAGTACTGCTAAATCACGCTTGTGGATGATCTCTCATTTTTTATAGATACCATTTGATTTTTCACCTTATAGTTTATCCTCTTCCTTGATCTAATATTTAAGTTCACATTATATTTTTTTGTATCAAGTGGCTTAACCTTCGATGTTCTGTTTTTCAATCTGAAGTTGCTGGACATAATGCTTTATATCCATTTTAGGTGTTATTTCCAGTTTATTAGGATAGACACTGTTGGTGATATTCTTTTCAGTTTCACTGTATTCATTCATTTGGAAGTGATTACATTCATGTATAACTCCTCGAAATCCAGATATCTGGCCACACCTATATGTATCTTTTATTAATTGGTTAAGGAGACAGAGTTGTATTACCTGAGGTTGGATGGTATATTCTTGTACGTGCTCAGTTTACATAAATTCTGGGGATATGGTGCTTATATACTGACCTATTATTGTCATTTCCATCACTTTTTTTCAAGCCACTGACTTTCTTATTTAGTGGTGTTACAATTGAAATTTGGCCGTGTAATGATGAATTTAACAAAATTGGTTTTGTTTTTAGTAAAGGGAAACTTCCCTTTGCTATGCATAACTTTTTCTCTATTGTATGCAGCTGAGGGGCTAGAGTTTGGCAATAGCGTGTACTGGATACGTTTTGATGAAGAATTTCAAAACAAGGTGATTTTTTTATAAAGCTGGTTTCAGTTATCGTCATCTTGCCTGTAGTGACATTCTTTTTTTAAATCTGAATTTTTAGCGTTTAAACCATCTTTGGCTTCTTCCAGAAATTTAAATCTTCAAGTCCATTTGGCATCAAGTACAAATTCCATCTGGAGGTACATAACTTTTACTCTTTCGAATGACATTCTATTCTTTTTTATTTCTTATGTGTTACAAGATTTTTTTTTTTATTTTTTATTTTTATCTGTATTCAACCATTCATCCACTTTCATGCATCCCAAGATCGTGTTCACATATGTTTTGGATATATCTGCACTAACTGGAGTTCTTACAACAGATTGCCTGGTTTTGTTTTAAATTGATCAATGTGGTAATAGATGAGCATTCTCTTGTAGGATGCTGTTGATTGTCCCGAGTGGATAGTCCCTTTTCATGTATTCAAAACACTGGCTGAAGAGGTATTTGAAGTTTTGCATTTTGGATTAAGCTATCAATTTCTTCTTCCTCTTCTTCTTCCTTCGTCCTTT